GTTATGAGTGCATACAAATGGAAGGTTAAATTAGTTCTATGGTACAGCCAGAGCAATCTGGAGCTGAACACACTTAAAACTGTAAACACATAAAACCCACAGTTGCGTACTCTCTCCATTACTCTTTTCTCTGTATACCAATGACTGAAGAATCCCTCTGTTAAAGTACTGAAGTTTGCTGATGATACAGTAGTCATTGGTCGAGACAACAATGAGTCTGCACACAGATGGGAGGTTGAACAACAGGCTGTGTAGTGAAGCCAGAAAAATTTGGAGCAGAACACACTTCAAACTGTAGAGATGTTAGTGGACTTTAGGAGAGCCCTTGTATTCTACCACATCTTAGAATATTAGACAAATGATATCAACAGTAGAGATTTCCACATTTCTGGAATCTACAATCTCCCAGGGCTTGAAATGGACATCTAATATTAAAAAGATAAAGGTTCCCCTCGCACATGCATGCTAGTTGTTCCTGACTCTAGGGGCAGTGCTCATCTCTGTTTCAAATCCAAAGAGCCAGCGCTGTCTGAAGACATATCCGTGATCATGTGGCCGGCATGACTAAATGCCAAAGGTGCACAGAACGCTGCTACCTTCCCACCAAAGATGGTTCCTATTTTTCTACTTGCATTTTTGAACTGCTAGGCAGAACCTAATATTAGAACCATCCTTAAAAAAGGCATGACATCAGACGATGTCAGCTTCCACAGAAAGCTCAGACTGCCCAAAATACAGTGCTGATACAGTTCTACAGAGGAAATATTGAATCTGCCATTTGCATGTCTATAACTGTCTGTTTGGTACAGAAACCAAACAGGAGAGGTACTATCTATCCAATAAATTGTTAGGACTGCAGAAAAAAATTATTGCCTACCTTCCATTGAGGACCCGAATACTGCACAAGCCAGGAAAAAGGTTGAGAAAATAGCTACTGACCTCTCACATCCAGGGCATAAACTGTTTCAATTCCTCCCCTTTGGACGCATGCCAAAGAGCAGTGCATGCCAAAACAACTAGATACAGAGACAGTTTTCCCCCCTCATGCCATTAATCAGCTGAACATCTAATTCTCACAGTACTATCTTATGTCTAAGGATATTTACCCATGTAGTAGGCTTGTATTACTCTTATCCTTCTCATCTTTCCTACTACTTTCTATTATTGGTATCTTATGATTACCTTGCCTTACTTTGTTGTTTGTATGTACGCTAAGTATGCACCAGAGACGAATTCCTTGTGTATCCAATCACACTTGGCCAATAAAGAATATTCTATTCTGTTCTGTTCTGTTCTATTCTAAATGTGTCAGTATATTGTAATAGTTTACTGCAAAAACTGTCTACCATTTAATCTCTCTCTATAATAATTCTCGATTTATATTTACAAAAGATAATGGATTCTTGATAATAGACCAAAAAATCATAGGAATGAAAGAGACCTCTGGAATCTTCTACACCAACCCTCTGCTCAAGTGAGGAAATCTTAAACCATCCCAGTCAAATGATTGTCCAGTCTATTTTTGAAAGCTTCCAGTGATGGAGCACCCAGAGAAGCAAGCTATTCTTGCCAGAAAATTTATCCTTATTTTTAGGCTGGACCTCTCCTTGACAAACTTCCACCCATTATCTCTTTTCTTGTTCTTTGGTTAAACCAGTGGTCAAAATATCTTGTGATCCTTAGCCTTAGAAAATGGAATCAAGAATCAGTGTAGATAATGGCGTGAACTCTAGAAAAAAACAACTGATCTTCTTAATCTGTCATAGGACCTCTCTCCTGCCATTTTTAATCCATGTAGTTCTCACCCTAATAACTTTCTGCAAAACACTGAAGATTGGGATGCTTTCCTGAACTTTAGGGTGGGATGGTTGGGACCTGTTGGATGCTTCATGGTGTTTGAATACTGTTTTTGTTGGACATACCATCTGTTCTTGTTCTCTTTTTTTCTTATTTTTCCTTTTGTTATTATATTCTATTTATTGCACTTGGTATATTGTTTTGATGTATTGCACACCATCTAGAGTCAGTATGGATGGTGTTTAAATTGAATACATTAAATTAAATTAATCATTGAACCTAGGGCAATTGGGATAAGATTTTAATATAATCTGGCAATAATAGGGACTAATGGGCACAAGTGGGCAATTCAAGTACTTGAGAATTTGGAACACTGAATTCCAAATGACAGTATTATGAATAAGCTATTCCTATAACAACACATGTATTGCTATAATTTTAATATTATTAGCAATTGTTTTAATTAACCAGTAAATATAATTTTTTAAACTGACAGGTCTCTCAATATTGCTAATTGCTTATAGTTTTGTCCTACTTTGACTATCTTTCTTATATATAATTTGGAGGATCTGAATCTTTCAGTGAAAACTCAAGCAATTTTTTATCCTTATCAGTGTCCATTACATTTTCTATTTTGTGTAATATCCAAAACAAGTTGATAAAACACTGTTTTCATCTTGTGTAAAGCTACTAAGAATAGCACAAAATTGTACATCTAATCCCAGTGAAATAATTTACTATCATACTGGATATTTAGTCATGACACAATGGCCAAAATCTATTCTACAGTTATTTTACCCAAATCCAAAGGAGAACATAAGTGTTTCCGTTTCTTCATAATCATAGCATAGTTTTAGTAACATGATTAATTTACAAAGTATAATGGGTCGTTTTTTTCTTCCTCTGTATATCTCCTATAGTTCTTTGAATGGCTTTTTAATGAAGTCTTGATTTTTTTGAAGATAGAATGACAAAATATGCCATTCTAATATGTTATTATAAATATTTTAGGTTCCTATTTTCTCTTTCAAAAGTTTTCTAAGAGTCCCATTGGTATCTTCTGAGTTTTTTATTTGTCATTATTGATTACCTTCTCATATTCACTTCTACTTTCTTCTCAGAATGAGAGTAAGGCCATTTAAATAAATTTAATTGGTAACCAATTTAATTATATTTCATTTAGTCCTTACCATACAATCATAATTCAGAATATAAATAATTAAAATCATAATAAAAAATAAAGGTGTCAAGTGCATAAAATGTTAAGAATGGAAGTGAATGAAAGCTTGCTAGAGTAAAAATGCATCTGGTGCTCTTCTAATGAAGGGCTACATCTGCACGCTTTTTTCAGATTCAAGACATTAATTAAGATGGAGAAACATGATGTCATGACCTTGTCCTTTGAGATAGTTTTCTTTTGAGTAAAAACAAGCACATTAATTTTAAGCTATGGAGTTCATTCTCTGCTTAGGCAGAGTGTCACTAACAATGCAACAATGAATACAAAAGCATTCACCTCTCAGAAAGCTATTAACCATTGCTGGACTGCTGCCAGGATGGAAAGAAAACTTACCTGAGGATAGAAAGCAATTTGTGGGTCTGCAGACTTATTTTAGCACTTATAACAATTTCTCACATCAGCAAAAGAACAATTGCAACTGATTAAATCATTCTGTATTTGTTAAAAGGCTCTAGAAGAAAGTTATATCAAGTTCTATTTGGTTGTTCTGTTCTTCTTGTCGTTATTGCAACTTTAAGACTCCCTTTTACTACTCCCAAAGTACATCTAAACCAAAAGGCACTATAGTACTGTGCATTACAGAACAACCAGAACTTTCCTGAGAATCACTTTCTTGCTTGACAACCAGTTTGAATAAGACTCTCTGAAAACAAGAGCCTGTTGCTGTGAGAGATAATGTACTAAGACATGTTCAGTATGTTCCCTGGTCATGTGGCCAGCATGACTCTACGCTGAGGAGGTGCATGGAACACTATTACCTTCCCACCAAAGTGTTACCTATGCCTATCATAGCATATTCCAATTCGTCATATGATCATGGATTCCCAAAAGCCATTGGAAATGCATCTGTTGTAACTTAATTTTAGAGTTCAGCAACTTTTAAAATAAAATTATTTTATATATAAATAAAATTTAAAAGTCAAATCAAAGCAAATATCTTGTTCTGCTGTGGATACCAAAGCCACACAAAGCCAACAATCTACTATAGCATATGACTTATTTTACAGGACCAAATCATTTGATGTTTACCTTGTCTTTATTTTCAAACAAATTTGCTAGGAGGGCAATTCAGAAGGGAAAGACTCATTCTTAATTGTTTTTTCCTTTTCCTTGCTTAGTTTTTGCATGGATGTTTTGTCTTGACCCATCATGGAAAGAAATTCCTGAAATATTTATTCTTTTTAATATAAAGGACAGAACTAATTGAAATCAACTGGAAGTATCTGAACTCCTCTTGATTTCTATCTGTCTACCAAAATAGCCAACTTGTATCCCCAACTTGGTGGTTATTAAGATCTGCAGGAAAGGGAGGCTTTTCTGAAGCTCCCCACTCATGTCTGGTATGTGAGAGTGGGCCTTCTTTTGTCTTGCTTCTGTGCTACGAATAGCAGATGTTCTCCACTCACTTTGAAAATGCAATGGAAACTTTGAATCATTGCTGAATGAATGATTGTAAATCGAGGACTACCTATATATATTTGATTATGCTTGCTTTTAACTTTCCTTAAAATCAAGAACTACAATGTTGATGGTCACTCAACAGTACTGTTACTTCTATTTCCTCAACTAAGTTTCTCTAAGTACAAAATGATAGATTTTTCTTTCAAAGAAAAATCTTTAATTTTTCTGATTACTAAATTCTCTCTCTTTCTCTCATTTCTATTTTCATGGTGATAGATCCAAATATATATTTTCCATATATGCTTCCATGTAAATTTGTGAATTTAAAAAGGTGATTCTGCAGATAATGGCCAGCCTTGTTTTCTATAAACTGGTTAAGAAAAGTTATGAGTGTACTTTGTTTCAAAGTGTTTAAATATTTAATAGCTGGAAAACAGTAAAATTATTTTGGGAAACAGTACAACATTCATGCATTCTTGTTGTCAGTGACTCATGAATGGCATATTTCAGCTCCATTTATTTTTTAGAAAGTATGTCTAGCTTAACATTATGAGCTGTTTACCTTTACTGCAGAAAGGACCATCATAAGCTGTCTGGGAGCAGTCACATGAGTATCCATTATATTTTTCAACACATTTGCCACCATTTTTGCAATGTATTCCATAGCTTGTGCAATGGCCAGAACAACCAGGTTTCACACCTGGGGTGACTTTTGCTCTTTCTTCTAAATCCAGAGTCAATCCATTCATTCTTAAAGAGCGAATGCAACCCAAAAATCCTTTCTGTTCACCTGCAGCACCTGAAGAATATAAAATGCCACATGAAAAATGAACCGAATGAATAGAAAATTAATGAACTTAATGAAACATGAGGAATAATTTCAGTTAAAATCCAGAAGCCAAATAAAGCCTTGCAAATGGAGTTTTGTTCATTCTCAGTTCCCATCCCAGAGATATCAGGATATGGGTAGAAGGATGTTTATTTCAATAGGTCTAATTGAGATTCCATTACATTTTAGAGTGAATGAACTGAGATTCGCCCTGTTCACAATTCCTTTTCTAAATGTGCAAACAATAGGAGAGCACATTAACTTTAAAGGGAAAGAAATTTATTTTTTTGTTAAATAATGACTGAGTAATCTTTATGTCTTAAAATAAGTCTAGAAAAAGAAATAAGCAGAACTCAAATTAAATTAATTGAATGCAGCACTATTAAAAATAGTTGCAATTAATAATTTGCAAAAGGAAGAAGCAAATAAAAGAAATGCTCAGTTTATCTGCAAAAGCATTATTGTTTAACATGAATAGTGGGAATTTTTCTAAACCTATTCCTCTAACATCAGTTGGATTGATTCTTTACATTCCATTGTTAGCACATTTAGTAATAATAACCCAAATCAACATGATCTCAGATTGCTATCAATAATTATTAGATGATGATCTAATAATGATATGATGATAATGCAATAACAATGTACTATTATTTTCAAATACTAAATAGAAACATACTGTAGATTTTGTTTAAGGAATTTCTTTATGGAACAAAAAGGTGAAAAAGTTAATATAACATTCATATATTAAGTGGTATTTGGAAAGAAATAGTAACATGTTTAATAAGTTAATTCTTTTTTTAATGTTTATTTTTTTCATTTACTTTTATAATATGCAAACTTCATCAGTTGTAGTCCCCAAACCAATCTATTTGGCTTTTCCCAGAATCAATGGCTCCCTCTTTGTCAGACATGCAACAAGTACTTTTCATTTATTAGGAATCAAGTACTCTACTCCTAGATATTTAATTGTTTTAAAAGATATGTGATAAATCCTAAAATATACACCTGGCAACAAATATAAGCAGTGGTATAACTATAAAGGATATCCTTTTTATTGCTCTTATATCCTGTGCCCAGTTTCACTTACCCTTTGAAAATAAGATTTGATTCCTATAGCATCTATAAATATCATATGTTTTCAAACTTTGACATTTGCTCAGTCTTAGAAAAATAATGCTTAAAATATTTTTCTTAGAAGTGATGCATTTTTTAGCAGCCAAATGTACATGAAAACCAAATCAATGAGGTTCTACATATATGAGAAGTTTAGATCTCATTCATAGCATTTCTTTCTGTGTGGAAGGGTTCAGGTTCACTTCTAAGAATAGAGTATAGCAAAGTCTTTTATTTGAGAGATGAAGAGCTGGTACATTTCACTATAACACAGCTTTTAAGATATCCCTAGCAATTTATTTGCATACTATTACCTCTGTAAGGTAAGGGCCTTGTGTTAGTTATCCTAGCACCAAATCAAAAAATTGACCAGCCACGTAAGTGGATTTCCTGAAAGCAGATATATGTTGAGGGATAAAATCAGCACTGTGTGAAATGATGAAAAGAGTAAGATAGAAAATTCATTTTCTCCCATGTTAATAGAAGTGGAGCAATGAAATAAATTAAAATGATGTATAAGTCTTCAGCATCTTGGCAGGTACCAGATCAACAGAGCTGAAATAGTAGCATAGCTTCCCCAATTGTATAGTCATTATTCATTAGGTTTTTTTTCTTCCATAGATCTATAAGAACTAAAAAAATGATCTTACATAACAACCTTTTTATTAAGTATAAATTTGTGAATTGTTAGGCATTGAAGCAGACCTTTCTCTTTTAGGTTATACCCAAAGTCATTTAGATATAATGAGCAACTGTAACAAGTGACTGAGGATTTTCATCAGCAAGCTTAACCAGCATTTGTCATAACTGGGAATATTGGGATACAAGCTTCTGGTATTTGAATTGTTGATTTCATCATCATGTATATAAAGCTGCCGCATCACATTATACAAAATTATACAAGATAACTATTCTGTTGAAACTACTCTTCCCTTTCTTCCAATTTAGGTGGGTCTCCAACAGAACTGGATCAGTGTCTAGAACTCATCTTCCTTGGGGGATTAGTGATTTGCTTCAGAGGAGTATGCTAATTTTTGAAGTGATAGTTCGTTATTTGGCTGCTTCCAAGTCTTCATGACTTGAGCGACATCAGTTTGCCAGGATTCTATTAAGAACTGCTTCTTAAAATCATGTGTGCTTATGGTTGTGTCAACATTGGTGGTACCTAGCCAGGATGGTCTTGAATCTTTCTTAATTTCTTTCCATTTTTGTAAGAATCTGGTTCTTCTTCAATACCTTGCTTCCATGTTATGTGTCCAAAATAGTTAAGCTTTTGTTTCCTAATTAGTGCTTTCAGTGAGTTGTCTGTTTTCCTTCATCTGATATTTAATTATTTGTTCTGCATTCTACCTAAAAAAGGAATGCATTTCTTAAAACCCTTTTGTGTTGGTTTGGAAACTTCTCTGGTACAGTTTGTTGGAAATCAGACATATGTCGGTGACAGGAATCACATAAAAAGTGAAGTAAACTATAAAGCTGTATGATAGCTGTTTGTTATGCTGGTTAAAAACAAAGAAAATCCAACTTCTGCTTTTAAACTAGGGATAAATAACCCCAGATCCCAAGCCCATCCTTGCACATGATATGACTATCTCCAAATTGCACCATTATGTATTGTGGATTCTGAATCACTAAAAATATTAAATGAAATCCCTGATCACCAAAAGATTATCAAGTTATATCTTAAATTAAATTTATGGTTTGAAGGGTGCTTCAAACATTTAAATACTGCTATTTGGTGGCATATGGATTAGATTTATGCAATGCATAAGAGTAGGACTAGTTATTAATTGTAACTGATTTTTAGATCGTCTTTTACATTTCTTAAATTGCACAAGCTATCACAACATTTTTCAAGTAAAAAACGCAAAATGCTAATATCTGTATTCAAAACTCCAAATGTATTTTGAAGGAAACTTTTGTCACATCAGTTAATTTAAATACTAAGATTACAGGGGCAAACTTGCCTGAATCCTGTCTGATGGGAAGGGAGCAAAAATAATATTTTCATTTATTGTGTTTTGTTTATTAAATGTTTTATCTAGGAAAGCTGAAGTCTAGGATTAGTGTTCTATTTTGAACAGATTTGGGAGTTGTGGAATTGTTATATGACAGATATTTTAAATAAGTAAATAAATGTGAAGTCTTTACAGTATGATCAGGATCTGGAGTGACCACAGGCATAGAGAAAAGGCATTGCATTTTGAGTTCAACACATAGTTTCTGCTTACCAACATAGAGTTGACTATAGAGTTCTAGTCGAGTGTGGCCTTCAGTGGGAGCCTTCCGGATTTCTCTAGGGAACTGATCTACTTGCAGGCTGGCTTCTTTGACATTGCGCTCTGCAGTCACTCGATGCCATTGATCATCTGTGAGCGGATGTGGTGACTTGACAATAATTTCTACTGGGCCGTTTCCAACATTAAATGAGAAAGATACATCTGTGGCAGCTAATGAGAGAAGATTAGAGAAATATAAGTTTAATACAGATTCTGCTAATTTGTGATTTTTTAAAAAAAAGATTTCTACTTGCAATTGTGTATATTTTCAAGAATTTACTGCATATATTTTGAATGTGTATAACAAAAGATAATTTACTTAACACAATATTCATATAACAGTGATGGCAAACCTATGGCACATATGCCAGAGGTGGCATGAAGCGCTCTCTCTGTGGGCATGTGAAACATTGCCCCAGCACCTGCACATGTGTGAGGACCTTCCTCCGGCCAGCTGGTCTTTGGGTCTCTGCTGAGCATGGGTGGGGGAGGGGCACAAATACAGGAGGTCATGCACATATGCATGGGGCGGGGCACATTCAGGGAGCTGCATATGCATTGCATTTTGGGGGTTCGCGCGCACGCGCTTTGGACACTCAGCCAGAAAAGGTTAGTCATCACTGCCATATAACAATGAATTCAGGTAATAAAAATGGCTTTAGTTATTTAGTTATTAAACAGGATGATTATTAGAACATAATCAGGACTAAGGATATTCCAGAGGGACTGAATCCAAATGCAGGGCTTATTGCCTACACTTTACAGACTTTTGAAGTAATTATCAGCAGGTCCTTCCTGTATGTTCAGACCATATAGGCACTCACATTTGAAAGGTTTTGACTATCTTCCAGTGTTATGTCTTATTGGGCCTCAGAAATGATAACCAGCACTTGAATTAGACCTAGTAATCAAGACAGCACCTGAAAATGGAATACTTGAAACATGGGTTTTGTAGTACTGTTACACTGGCTAACTAATGTGGGCTGTTTGTATTTTAAATTTGTTTTTCAACTATATTGCTAATGATTTCCCATAACCTTAATCTTCAAGGAAAGTCTCTCTTTCATAAACCAGGACTGGCAGGAAAGCATTCAATATATAGTAGATAATAGTTTCCTTTCAGCTGTTTTCAAGCCTCCTTGAACAAAGAAAACAATCCAGCAAAACCTTAGGAAGCACTGAGAATGTATTTTACCCATACCATTTTGATGTTTTTTCTTTGTAAATGTTTCTTTTACACAGAATACAATGCTCTTTTCTATGGCTAAGCTCACATAATATTAGATGACTTGATTCTTGTAATGTAACTAAACAGAGGACTATTTCTAAACTAATCAATTTTTGCTTTGAAGTTCTTTGTTGTGCTACCTATAAAAGTAATTCATTTTTCCTGGTTCCCCCTTTTTGTAGGGAGACACCAGTTTATCTAATAAATTGGTTTTAAATGATGTTCTGATGTGGTTGCTTATTGGAAAAGGTAAACTGAGGCAGACCCTAGAACCAATTTTGTTGTATTTATTTTGTACAATGACAATAAAGGCTATACTATTAGGCCAACTTTCTACAGTCCCACTAATCATCCCCCCTTAAATAATCATTTACTATCTCTTAACCACACACAATATGCCATCTGAAGAAGAAAGAAAGGCATGGATCATCCCTCAATAGGGAACTCTATCTACTTCCTCAGGTTACACAAGTTCTTAAGACAGCATTACAAGACAGGGCCCAATCCATATCAAAAATAAAACAGCCACTTTATCCACATGAAAATCTGCAATATTATCAAGATCACCCCTACATCTTTTCCTAAAAGAACTTTTGTAACTCAGAGTTGCCTCTTAGGAATCTCCAAGCACAGTAATACTATACTACTATTTTATAGTTTAAACATATTGTTCTGTACTGAGAATGGTGGGTGATTGCTGAAATAACTGAGGCGGAGACAGGAATAAAGACTAACAAGTTTATTCCTTAACAATAACAAGCTAACAGTGGAAACTGGCTCCAAGACAGGCACAGCGCCACTTCCCATCTGACAGCTCCCTTTTATACTCGACGCTGATGGATGGTAAGCCAATCATCTGTCATCTGTCTCCCACCAATGCACAACATGGTGAGCATGCTCAGAACTTGACACTCCTTCCCACTACATTCACGCAAGCGTAGTCTTGTAAGTATGCCGGGCCACGCCTAACCAGGCCTGAACGGTGTGGCTCGATGTCAACGTCAGGAGTGAATGGCGGACTCTCTGAGTACCCAGACTCACTGGATGACAGCGGCACTGGACATGGGAACAACAGGGGCCGGACTGGCTCCCCCAGTAAGTCAGCATTCTGCAATTCCGGGTAGGCTGCAGGCTCATCCACGAGGGCTACGTTTGCACTCGTGGTGCTGGTCTCCGACTGGGACTGGTCAGGCTGCTGCGTTAGTTGGCCCTGCCTGGCCTGCATTTGGTCACAATGGCACCTCCATACCCGGCCGTCATCCAGCTTCACTCTGTAAGAACAGGGCCCGGTCTGGTCAGCTACAATGCCCGGCACCCATAAGGGATGGCCTACGTAATTCCTAACATACAGTGCCTTCCCCAGGACAAAAGATCGGGCTCCCCCAGCGGAGCCCAAGGGCTTGACTGTGGAATAATTAGGGTGCAGCCTATCTAGGGAAATCCTCAGGTGCCTGCCCATCAATAATTCAGCAGGGCTAATGTTGGTAGTTGGGCAAGGCGAAGTGTGATAGGCCAACAAGAAGGCATCGCACGCAATTGAAAATATGAATATAGCACAAAAACAGGACAGAATTAC